AGTTCTCCATCTGTCTTCTCAGTCCATAGAATGTTTATTTCTCTGCCTTGTCTCACAGAATTGACTTGACTGAAACATTCAGTACAATGTTCAACATAAGTGGCATCTCACTTCTGATTTAAGAGGAATGCTGCTAGCAGTTCTTTCTCTTTATTTTATTAAAATTTATTTTTATTGTATTTTTCCATTACCATTTATCCCCCTTATACCCCCCCTTGCCCCCACAATCACCACACTGTCCATGTCCATGAGTCCTTTTTCCTTTTTGCGTGATCCCGCCAGCGCCTCACCCAGTCACCCCCACCACCCAGAGCTGTCAGCTTGCTCTCCGTGAGTCTGTCTCTATTTTGCTTGTTAATTCAGTCACTTCATTAGATCCCACATAGAAGTGAACTCATATGGCATTTGTCTTTCTCTGACTGGCTTATTTCACTAGCATAATGTTTTTCAGGCCCATCCATGCTGTCACTAATGGCAAAAATTTTTTTTTTTTATTATGGCTGAGCAGTATTCCATTGTGTACATGTCCCATAGTTGTATCCATTCATCTACGGATACTTCAGCTACTTTGAAATCTTGGCTATTGTAAATAATGCTTCAATAATTATAGGGGTGCATATATTCTTTTGAATTAAAGTTTAGGGTTTCTTTGGATATATTCCCAGAAGTGGAATTGCTGGGTCATAAGGCAGTTCCATTTTTAATTTCTTGAGGTAACTCTATACAGCTTTCCACAGTGGCTGCACCAGGCTGCATTCCCACCAACAGTGGAAAAGGGTTCCCTTTTCTCCACATGCTCACCAGCACTTGCTGTTTGTTGATTTATATTGATGATAACCATTCTGACAGGTGTGAGATGGTATCTCTTTGTGGTTTGAATTTGCATTTCTCTGATGATTAGTGACCTTGAGCATCCTTAACATATGTCTATTGGCCATCAGTATGTCGTATTTGGAGAAGTGTCTATTCAGGTCTTTTGCTCATTTTTTAACTGGATTTTTTTTTGATGTTGAGTTTTATAAGTTCTTTATAAATTTTGGACATTAACCACTTTTCAGATGTATTGGCAAATATGTTCTCCCATTCTGTGGGAGAACATAGTCTTTTTACTTTGTTGGTGGTTTCCTTTGCTGTGCAAAAACTTTTTAGTTTGATGTAGTCTCATTTGTTTGTTTTTTGTTTTGTTTTTGTTCTGTTTCCCTTGCTTGAGAAGATATAGCAGATAAAATATTGCTATGAGCAGTGTCTGAAATTATACTGCCTATGTTTTCTTTTAGAATTGTTATGGTTTCGGGCCTAACATGTAAGTCTTTAATCCATTTTGATTTTATTCTTGTGTTTGGTGTATGAAGGTGACCTTGTTTCATTTTTCTGCACATATCTGTCCAATTTTTCCAACACCATTTCTTGAATAAACTATCTTTAGCCCATTGCATGTGCTTGCTTCCTCTGTCAAATATTAACTGACTATAAAGGTGTAGGTTTATTTCTGGGCTCTCTGTTCTGTTCCATTGATCTGTGTGTCTGTTTTTATGCCAGTACAATGATTACTATGGCCTTATCATATAGTTTGATATTAGGTAGCATGATTTCTCCAACTTCATTCTTCTTTCTCAGGTTTGCTGTTGCTATGCCGGGCCTTTTGTGGTTCCATATAAATTTTTGAAATCCTTGTTCTCTAGTTCTGTGAATAGGTCATTGGAATCTTCATAGGAATTGCATTGAATATATAGATTGCTTTGGGTAGTATTGACATTTTAATAACATTAATCCTTCCAATCCATGAGCATATTATGTACTTCCACTTATTTGTACCTTCAGTTTCTCTCTTCAGTGTATTATAATTTTCTGAGTACAGGTCTTCTACATCCTTGGTTAGGTTTATTCCTAGGTACTTTATTCTTTTTGAAACAATTGTAAATGGTATTGTTTTCTTAATTTCCCTTTCTCTTAGTTCATTATTGGCATATAAATGCAACTGATTTAAAATGCAACTGATTTCTGGATATTAACTTTGTATCCTGCTACTTTACTGAATTTATCAGTCCTTGTAGTTTCTTAGTGGAATATTTAGGGTTTTCTATGTATAAAATCATGTCATCTGCAAATAGAGACAGTTTTACTTCTTCCTTTCCACTTCAGATGTCTTTTATTTCTTCTTCGTTTCTGATTGCTATGGCTGGGACTTCTGGTACTATGTTGAATAAGAGAGGTGACAGCGGACATCCCTGTCTTGCTCTTGATTTTCAGGGGAATGTATGTTTGTAGTTTTTCCCCATTGAGTATGATACTGGCAGTGGGTTTGTCATATGTGGCCTTTATTATCTTGAGGTATGTTCTCCCTAATCCCACTTCGCTGAGAGTTTTTGTCATAAATGGATATTTGTCTTTATCAAATGCTTTTTCTGTATCTATTAATATGATCATGTGGTTTTTATCCTTCATTTTGTTTATGTGGTGAATCACATTTATTGATTAGTGAATGTAGTACCAACCTTGATTCCTGGAATAAATCCCACTTGAACATGGTGTACGACTTCCTGATGTATTTCTGTATTTGGTTTGCTAATATTTTGTTGAGGATTTTAGTATTTATGTTCATTAGGGATATTGGCCTATATATATATTTTTTGTCTTTATCTAGTTTTGGAATTAGGGTAATGCTGGTCTTGTGAAATAAATTTTTTGAAGTAGTTTGAGGAGAGGTGTTAGTTCTCAGAATGTCTGGTAAAATTCACCTGTGAAGCCATCTGGTCCAGGACTTTTGTTTGTTGGGACTTTTTTGACTACTGCTTCAATTTCACTAGGTGTCAATTTTTTTCTATGAATGTATCCATGTCCAGTTTTTTTTTAATTTGTTAGCATATAATTATTCATAATATTTTCTTACAATCCTTTGTATTTATTTGGTGTCAGTTATTTCTCCTCTTTCATTTATGATTTTATTTATTTGGGTCCTCACTTTTTTTCTTGATGAGTCTGTCAAAGGTTTGTCAATCTTATTTATCTTTTCAAAGAACCAGTTCTTGGATTCATTGAACTTATGTATCTTTTTTTTAAGGCTCTATTTCTACTCTGATCTTTATTATTTCCTTCCTTCTATAGCATTTCTAACATTTGTCACTACATGTTTGCTCTAGGTTTTTGGTGCATGCTCTTTATCAGGTTAACGAACCTTCTTGTTATATGCATTTGCCTGTTTAGCTAGAGTCTTTTTTTCTAAATAATAAGGAAGTTTAAAAATTTGCAAATGCAATTTCTGTATATATTGAGATAATGTGTATGTGCTTTTTGTTTGTTAACATACTGGATTGGATTAAGTAGATCTTCTACTGTTAAACCAAGATTTAACAGTAGATAAATCTGTTGGATAACTTGATATATGACCTTACCTACGGCTTGGCGCTCCTCCAATCCTGAACCCCCTGTGTGGTGAATACCCTGCCCCTTTGATTTGTCTTGTCTTCCCCTCACTCCCCTTCAAGGGTCTCTGCCTTCACCTAGATTCACCTCTTGGCTCCACCTGGTGGCACCCTTTGGAAATTTCTGACTTGCTATCTCCATCTCTTTTTCTCTTCGAGAAATAGTTTCCTTAATTATCTGTTACCCCTCACTTATTCTGTTTTCTTTCTTGTACCTTACATTCATTCACTTACTCTCCCATTCTCCTTTCTCATGATCTACATCAAACTATTCGCTTTTCCTTCCTTTGCCCTTTCTCCCTTTGTTCCTTTATTAGTGTAAATCTACCTCAGTTATGGTTAATCATGGTGACAGTAATGCTCGTGACTAAGAGAAAAATTCAGCAACATATTTTTAAATAACATTTGATATGATAAAGCTCTGGTAACCTTCCAAGTCTTTGAAAATACTTCAAATTCCCTTTAAAATATTCTTAAATTTTAAGTTCTACTTAGTCATCAAATTAATTCTGCCCAGTTTAACACCAAGTCAAAGTATCAAAGAAAAATTATAAAAGTGTTAATAAGTTTCATTGTTCCTATCCGCCTTTATTACTAGCATTGACAAATTTGGGGGTTCTACTGTATTTTACTGCAAAGACTCTGTTTTTCATTATGGGTTAAACTGCCTGGAAACTGAACTACCATCTATAGCATGGTTTCCATGAGCAACAGCCCACCAGAGATGCCCTTTTGGTACATAACTGACTTATAAAGATTGTCAGTAACTGACTTTCTAATGTTTAACTTACAAGCATAGAAATATTGTAAGCAATATTCTCCCCACTGAGAGAACTCACGTATGGATAGGCTTGGCTGGTTTAGCAGTTTCTTCACAGAGTTAGTTGTGACTGTTGTCGGTGTCGCTAGCGGCTATGTCTGAGAATGGCAGGTGAGTCAGATGAAGAAGGCAGACCAGAGAAAGTAGGGCTGAAGTTGATCTCTTTAACCGCTGCAATGCCAGCAGGGCTGCAGGAGAGGAGATTTTTATTGTTTGTCTGCCTTAACCCACACCAGTCTTGCAGTAGGCAAGTATAGTATATTGAAAATGGGCTTATTCAAGGATAGCAACTGTTGATTTCAAAAGAGGCACCCCCAGAATATTTTGAGTCTATAAGTCTCGGTGGTGCCTACAGGACATTTTAACAGTGCCTAAATTAATTAATTAAGAGAGAACCTCAGATAAAATGTAAACTTGGTCTTATGCATTATTCTAATAGTTTCAAAGCTTTGACATGTATGGCTTTGAGATCCATTATTTTTGTGAAACTGAATAGTTTGTGTAGAGTTGGTACAACTATTAGAATTCTAACATCTATTTAAAAGAGAGATGTAAAGTTATTCTTATTTTCATGTTGTAATTACGGAGATTCAAAAGTGGGTTGGAAAAGAAGTTCAAGATTAAGGAGGAGATGACTGTGGCGATTTGGTTACCAGGGGCCCTGCATGACCCAGGCTGATGTGGCCCCCTCAGCACTTGATGTCCTTCTGCATTCCTTTGCTGGATGCTTTCTAACCTCTTGATGTCTCTTTTAAAAGGTGGGGACCCAAACTGTATGCATTGTTCCAGATGCGTTCTTGCCAAAACAGCATAAAGCAAATGTAACAGTTAGGACGAAGGCTCCCTCCCTCACTAGGTAAGTACACGTGACCAGGGCCAAGGCCAGCGCCTCTTCCCAGTAGACCTGCCCTATCTGTCCACTGCCAACATGCTAGGACCCCATAATATCTAAATTCTCAGTCAGACTTAGAGCAACCCCTACCATCACAGCATCTAAGTCCACCCCCTCCAGGTGCCTTCTCAACTGTTTACATCTCTTGGGCTCTTTGTCAGTCGAGAACATCTTCCTCCAATTTAATAATTTTGAGGTCAGATAGGTTATTTATTTTTTTAATATTTTATTTATTTACTTTTTAGAGAGAGGGAAGGGAGTAAGAGAGAGAGAAACAGCAATGCGCGAGAGATGCAGAGATTGGTTGCCTCACCCAGCCCCCAACTAGGGTCCTGGCTGGCAACCCAGGCATGTGCCCTGACTAGGGATCAAACCTGTGACATTTTGGTTCACAGGCTGGTGCTCAGTCCACTGAGCCTCACCAGCCAGGCCTCATGCAGTTTATTAAGTTGAGATTTTACCTGTAACCTTGGAGAACTGATGGCATCTACTACGTTAGAGTGTTGTCTTACCTTTGTGAAAGAACCCTCTTGATGGGGTGTATTATAGTTCAAGCTTACACAATGACACCTGTGTGCAGCTGTTAGGTGTCTCACTTATTTTAAAAAATATTTAGATATACTTAAACATGAAGTGCTGCACGTACATATTGAGTAGAAGAATTCCGGAATTGGTTCATAAACCAGGTTAGTATTATGCCTTGATCTCAATTTGGAAATATTTAAAAATCATTGATCAACCATGATAACAGCCTGCTTTAAAATTCCTTAATATCTTTGGAACAGACTGTTTTGACCCATCCCATTTCTAAATAAAACCACAGCAATACAGTCTATCTTGTAGATCTTGAATGGTTCATTTGAGTTCCTCCAGTTTGCTATTTACATCTTCTGAAGTTCTGTAAACCTAACCGTAGCTTTATGTTAATATATCAGATACAATACTTTAAGATCTGGAATAAATGTCCATTCTAACTACTATTCCTTAGATTTTTTTTTTATGTAAAATGGTCATATATATTTGCTTCAGGTGGGGGATTTTTAGATATAATTTGTTTTTTGGCCTTGAATTTCTAATTGCTCTGAAATGAGTTGAAGGCTACCAGAATCTCTGACATTCTGCAGCAGCTCCAAAATACTTCATTGTTTCAAATCCACCTGAAAGGCTTGTGACATGAACATCACCATTTGCTTCTCTGGTTTGGAAAGGGGTGGAGCTGATTGTGATTTCATATAATCCAGTTAGCCTTATTCCTGATATTTGAGCTAAAATCCTTGGTTAAAACAGGTTCCTAATATTCCATAGATTGCTACAAACAATTTTCAGCCATTCACCTTTATTTTTTAAATTTTTATAAGAGTTTATTTGAGCCAAACTGACAACATATGCTGGGGAGCAAAATCTCCAATGTTTTGGAGAGTAACAGTTTTGCAGCTTCTTTTACAAATTTGAAATTAAGGAGTGAAAGTAAGGAAGATTACGTAGATGGAGGAGAAAGCAAAGCCAGAATCACAGGATAATTAACAAGATTCTGTGCTCCCTTGAGGGTGGTGAGGGCTTATGTCAAAGGTGTGTTAACGTAGATGCACAGAATCAACTGGACAGGGGCCGCTCAAGGCACAGATAACCTCCCACTACAGAGCTGTCTGTTAGGGCGTGACCACCCACCACGCCACTTAGAAATTTATGCTCATATCATCCTGTTTAGCTATTCCTCTTTAAACCGTTTCTTTCTATGAAGAAATTTCTGTAACTCTTTCCATTTTGTTTGCTGATTGGTAAAAGCCCCCAAATTGAAATGTGCCTGATGTTGTGCAGTTTTTCCTCACTGACTTTTATCTGTTAACGTTTTTGCTTTTTAGAGCAAAGCCTTCAAGTGAGTGTGACTCTGCCACTGTCGTCAGAAGTAGGAAAATAAATTTTCTGCATGACTCACCGGAAAAGTCAAGATCAGATGACAGAGATTTTGAATTATCCAGAGATTAATTTGTTAAAGGATCAAGGAATTGGCAATCACCACATCACCTCCTTCAGCTTGAAATGTTACATAGTTGGCAGCCTCAGAAGAAACGCTGGCCCCTCTATAATTGATTATAATGTTATTGACCCGAGAAAAAGGACAGGGACTTCTAAGTGGCTCTCGGGTCCTTCTCCAGTGTTTAGGGTTTCTCCCTCGGACTCTCCTCCTGTTCTCTGTGGCCCATAGGATTATGGTAGTGAGGAATTAGAGGCAGCATCTATAGCCATGGATCAGCCTGAGCCATGGTTTCTTCAGGGGTAGAATGCTCTGCAGCCTCAGGGCCAGGCTGCAGCCCAGTTACCAGGTGGCCCCAAAGGCCCCTGGCAGTCAGGTGCATTCAGACCCACAGCTTCTTGCTTGCAGCCTTCAGGCCTTGTCCTTTCTATGAGGCGCTAGGCTGATGGTAGCTTAGGAGGCTGTGTTAGACCTGATCTGAAGACACTCTTTCCTGACCCCTGGGGTGGGAAGTGGCCTGAGGGGGGGATGGTGGAGCTGGTGTAAATACAGTGAGCTTGTCCTTTGGGTCCACATGCCCCAGAGGCTGCTCAATGACTTCTGTGATGCCTGTCACAAAGGTTTATATGACTGTGACTACCCAAAAGGGAATGTGTCTACACTGTGCTCTCCTATCCTCATCCTAATTCTGGATCTGAAGTTCACACGATCCGGTACACTACGTTAGAGTCCCTTTGAGACCAAACATAACCGTAGCCTGGCTGGGCTCAGAGGGTGAGCCTGTGGACCCACCGTCGTCCTGGAACAACATGTGTGTCGCGGCCTTGCATTTATCCCTCTCATAATTCAATGGAGAGCTCAGCCGTGGCTGATGCTGCTTAGGAAATGTGGAAAGGCTTTCTGGGCTGTGCTCATTTCAACACTATCATGGTAATATTTAAGTTTCACTTTCTTCTTTCTTACCGAACTTTCCTGTTCACTATGTCTTCATGCAGGTCCCTGGCATCTGACATATGGCGAACTGTAGGATAAGGACCTACCAAGATAAGCCCGATATTCTGTATGTGAATATCCACCCCCCAAAGTCCAGAATCGTAGCTGGAACCAGATGGACACATGTTCCCGAAACCAGGGCTCTTGCTGATGGTTTTCTCCACATCTCAGTTTACTGTTGGTTTTCCCTTTCTTGCTATCCCGTCTCTCCAAACCCCTCTTGATTGCCTTTCCTAGGGACTGACCTTGGAAAGACGGGCCAGGACTTGGGGATTCTGTATTGCACCCTGCCGGCCCAAGCCAGCGTCTGCGGCTCGCCGTCCCCAAGGCACCATCCCCCAAACATGCCGGAAGGCATCGGCTTCTCAGAGCCCACTTTTAGTCTGCATGACCAGCTTGCAAGGAGGGATATATGGAGACAATTTCCAAGAATTTTCCACTTTTTCAAAAAAAAAAAAAGTGTGCGACTTATTTTTGGCTTTGAACTGAGAGCTAACTCAGTGGTGTACAGCTCTGTTTGCTGGCTCACATCTGTGAAATCTGGAGACATTGATGCAACATTCCTTTTCCTGTCTGGGCTGTTTGTATAATTGTATATAAATGTAGCAATAAATATATTCTAACAGCAGCCTCAGGCATTACTTTCCACTTGGTTCTGCATGGCGATGGTAAGCAGTGAATATCACCTTCTCAGGGAGCCGCCCCACTGACCAGTGGGGCTTGCCTGCCCATCTCAGGTTCTCACCTCTGATTTCACAGAGCGTTAGTGTGGAGTTGGCTCACCTTTGGAGACAGGAGGTTGAGGAGTCCGGTGACAGAGCTGGGACATGAAGCAGCATTATTAATTCACTAGGTGGCACTATTCCTGGCACTCTGAGGTGGCTTGAATGTCCAAGGACTGAAGCTTAGAGGATTGGGTGACCGTTTGGGACATGAGTCAGCTATTTTATAAGTAGTCACTCTTACATCCTGCAAGAATGTATATTACTGCAATTATATGGCAGGTACTTATCTGCCAAGCACAAAAAGACCCCTTAAAGATTTTCAGAAAAAAGCACACAGAATATGCCCACATGATACTGAATTTCCCATCTGAACCTGGTGTTTTTCAAGGACACTAAGTCTGTTTTAGAAAGTGTCCAACTAAAGGGAACACATGGCAAATAACCTTTTCATTTGGCAGAAATAATGTTGCTTGTCTAATATCAAGGAATAATTGTTCCCAAAGTGGTCTTACAATTTATTTGAAGTCATTGGTTATCAGGCATTTTGATCAATTAAAAAAGACTTTTGTTGTGGTTTCTTCTCAAATGCCATTTCTCAGGTCTGTCTTCGTTTGCAAACGAAAGTTGGTGGACACCCATTCCACTGAGAGACCTGGGGATGCAGTGGGGCTGGAAGTTGGGTGTCATGTGGCCAGGGTTCGAAAGCAGCACCTGAAACACTACTTTTTATGTATTAAAACAATATAGACCGGAAGCACTTGACAAAATCACCTGGGGGAGCCCTTTGAACCACTGATCAGATAACTATCTGAATGATCCATCGTGCCAGGTCTATTCTCATTTTCACCTTTTAATAGATCCATTAGAGAACCCGAGGCTTAGGGTCAAGAGATAAAGACGGCACAGTGTGGGCTGCTGTCTGCCACAGCAAACGCCCATGTGATTCCACTTGACACCCTTTTCTCCACATAGATTTGTCTGGCCAGGACTGGTGATTCAGGGAGGAGGTATTTAAGAAGACACATGACAAATAATCACTTGTTTCTGGTTATAGTGAGATATAAGATAAGCCCAACTATAGATAATGCTATATAAGCAATGGGTCATACGTTTGTTTATGGAGCTGTGGAGGGTTGAGGGTTTTTAGCCTGTGGGTGTTAAACCTGGATGTGGGTTGTGGTTCTGCTACTAATTAGAGGTTAGACCTGGACACATCACTCCACCTCTCTAGGCCTCTGATTCGTCTGCTGGAAAATGAGGTGTTTTGACCAGTGATTTTTGAGATCTTTTTTGTTCTTTGAGTTTCTCCTCCTCTGGGAAAGGGAAGGGAGTAGCATACTTTTTTTCTTTTTTTAATTACTCACCTGAGGATATGTTCATTAATTTTAGAGAGAGAGGGAAGGGGTGGGGGAGAGAAAAAGAGAGAGAAAAACACTGATGCAAGAAAGAGATATTGATCGGTTGCTTTCCATATGCATCCTGACTGGGAGTCAAACCCACAGCCCTTTGGTGGCAGGAGTATCCAACCCATGGCCTGTGGACCGCATGCAGCCCAGGATGGCTATGAATGTGGCCCAACACAAAATTGTAAATTTACTTAAAACCTTTTTTTTCCTCTTCAGTTTTCATTAGTGTTGGTGCATTTCATGTGTGGCCCAAGACAACTCTTCTTCCAGTGTGGCTGAGAGATGTGAAAAGGTTGGACGTGCCTGGTATGGCATAGTGCTCCAACCAACTCAGGTCATGGGATGGCAAACATGGGCAACTGAGGCATAAGAGAGGTAGGAAGATTATCTTCACTACTAAGAAATGCATTCTGATAACAACAGGTTAAAGCAGCACCTGGTCAAACGACCTTGGGGAAATAATATGTTTAGCTTTCCCTCTTCGCATCTTACCAACTGGATTTCTTCTTGGGGTCCCTTCTGCAAAGGGGCAGAAAGACTGCCATCTACACTCATTGCTGGGACACACAGGTGCATGTTGAAGTCTCAAAATCAGAACTTTTCTTCATGAACCAAAGAGGGCAGTGCTGTGAAGAGAGCCCCCTGGCGCTTGTAAACTGCTGGATTTCAGTCCTGGTCAAGCGGGCATGACTGAGAGGTGTAGCAAAGGAGAGGGAGAAAATGGGTCACTAAGGAGCACGTTGGAGGGGGACGTTCCCTCCTTCAGTGTAGATAAAACACCGGTTAGCACAGTGCTCCTGCCCTCAGGGCCCACCCTCAGCCCTTCGCGGGCAGTGGGCATGAGTTGCTTGACTGCTGAGCATGGAGAGCAGCCGAGGACCAGCCCTTCCTCCTGTTTTCCCGTTGGGAGCTGGCTGTCCACAGGAAGCGCAGATTATGTCTCCTCCTCCACGGCTTAGTTTTACAGAGGAGGCCGGGGTGGCCACCCGGAAGGGTAAGTGTGTCTGATCTGGGGTTCAGCATCAGGAAGCTAGTTGCCATGGGTACAATGGCTTATCAGTGATCAAGCAGATCTATGGCCTTCACCAGCTTTTTCTTTTACTTTAATTCCCAATTGATTTAGCATAATGATTCCCACTTTAATGCACATCAGAATCACCTGGAGGATTTGTTAAGCCAACTATGCTGCGCACCCTGCCCCCGCTCCCCTATCTCTCTCTCTCTCTCTCTCTCTCTCTCTCTCTCTCTCTCTCTCTCACACACACACACACACACACACACACACACACACACACACAGAGTGTCTGATTCCCAGGTGAGGCTCTGGCTGCGGCTACGGGCTGCGGACCACATTCACAATCCCTGGGAGCACTTGGCAGAGAGAAGGAGTTCCAGTTATCAGTCCCCTCAAACCCTGGAACTGAATGTTCTCAAAGCTGTCTGAGTCAGCTGGTGTCCTTCGGAAACGGGGGCCGGCAGACCGTTCCCTGGTCAGTATGAGTAACTCCTCCAAATCTATATCCTCTTCTAGCCTGCGGCCTTGGAGAGAAACAAATGGTTATGGATCGCACTCATTTCTGTTCTAAGGAGAACAGCAGCAGGACCAATGCCAGCCATAAATCAGCCCTGAAATGCCAATTTAAAAATGGACTCCAAGAGACATGTGCCGCTCTCTTTTGGTAAAAACTTGGAGAGCGCTGTGCGCTAATGAACACTTAAGGGGGCTTTGCAATAATGATGAAGCTAGCGCCCTTTAAGTGCTTATAATTGAAATATAAAACACAAACATTTGCAGATTAGTGGACAGAATCTCCACAAACTGAAAGCCCCAGGGAGACCAGAAAGAGAGCATTTATCCCCCAAAGTCTCCCTGTGTTTTCCTCAGGACACGGATCCAGGTAAGTATGATCTGAATTGTGACAGGGGAGGTATGGTTTACTGTTGGGTGTTTATATAAATGCAGTCATTCAGCTCATACTCTCTAGTGTCTGGTGCCTTTTACTGAACAAACTCCTAAATTCTTACCAATCACTCTGACCGAGTCTGCCTGCCGCCCACTCCACTCGAACTGCTCTCAGGCCTCTGTTCCAGGGCTGCACCCCCTTGCTGCACCACCCTCCCCACGTCCCTCGCAGAGCGGCTGTTCCTGGAGCCAGGCTCCGCCTTAACTGTCAACAGCTGTACCCCTACCTCCAGGCCTGCCTTCAAGCTCCCCTCAACCTCAGATTTTCATTGGTCAGACTAGACAAGGCTATTGGTCCCTGAAAATGCCAACTCAGAGGCTCATCCCTCAATCCCTGGGCATTGGGGTGGTTTTGCTTCTAGCAGTTCTGGGGGACCAGGTGTTCCCTGCATCCTGTGGAGCATGTAGTCGCTCGGGCACCACAGGGACACAGGCACCGGGGAACCCCCCAGGGGCGTTCCACTGCCTCATCCCAGGAGCTACACTGGTCCCTTCTCATACTCCTCTCATCAGAAGTAGTTGCATGGCCACTCTGAGCCACAGGGGCTGGGAGAGGTACGAGAATATTTGGCGAGCATCACTATCTCTGTTGCACTGATTTTCTTAAAACCAGAATATGTCCTCCTTTGCCCTTTGAGAGAGAAGGAGACCTGAATGATACCCAACCTCCTCCCCAGCCTCCAAAATATATCAGACAGCATGCCCAGGGGCGTCTGCCTGGTGGCTCCTGGCTGCACACAGGACCTCAGGCCGCCCTGGCAGGCACTGAAGCCGTGGTGCTTGTGTGTGCCAAGCCTCTTGCACCCTGAACCTCACATGTTTCTTTGGCACTTTTTTTTGTTTTGCTGTTTTTTTTTCTCGTTGCTGGATGAACAAAGGTGAAGGCACCTCAAGTTAGAGTGACTCATCGCCCTTCCCTGTCTTCATGGTGAACAGGCCTCCATGGCTTAAAATGAGACTCATTCTAATGCCAACTCTGTCATATTCTGTGGGGTGACCTTCAGCAATATGTTAACCTCTCTGGACTTTAATTTCTACCAGTAAAACAGTAAATTGATTTCTGTAACATGTACTTTTTTCTCCTCAAATAGATACAGTATATAGGTACTTAGACCTGTTTTTGGTTCCCTTTGTCTCAGTTGAACACAGCAAGGCTACTGAGGTGTCCTGTTATCCTGGGCAGCCTGTTCACTTAGCCCCAAGGGACTTGTGCAGAAGGTGCCCTGAAGGTACAGATGCAGAGACTTTGGCACAAGTTCTGAAATACAGGGTCACTTGAGAGAATACTGCTCTTTATTCATTCATTCGAAACTATTTAGGACCATCCACTGTGTCCTTGGGCACTGCTCTCAGAGTGAGTGGTTGGAAAGGACCCTTGTAGAACTAACAGCTGCAACATCTTGCTCCGAGAAAGCTGCTCATGATTGAGCCCAGCTGCTGTGTGTTGACCTCCGTGCTCCGGCCTGGTCCTGAGACCAGCCAGGGAGGTCAAGGCAGG